CCACCTTAGGTGTATGTGGCTGGCTCCTTAGCCGGTTGAGCTATAGGCGCCAAGCCTATTATTTTTTTTAAATCCTGTTTCTGCATATAAATTCAAGCATACCTTATAATATAAACAAAAGTTCTGGACTACTCAAACTAAAATCTCTCTTATGACCACTGGGTTAAATATTGCATAGGAAGTGTCACTTTGGATAGTACTGTTTGAGCAAGGCCATAATTATGCATCTTTCTTCTTCTCTGAAGTGCTTTACAAAATATTAAGCATTATCAACAAAACAAAACACAAAACATGAGTTGCAAAGGGAAATGCTTTGCTTGCAATTCTTAATAACATTTTTTGATCAGTAGAGGTCATCTGTCATATTAAAAATATATAATTTAATTCTCAAATAATAACTTTGTTCATCTTTCTCTGAAAGTACATTGTCAAGAGAATTCAAAGCAGAATATATTTGGTAGCTCATGTACATATGCTGAGTATACAATGTTCTGAAGTGAAAACAGAGATATTATTTTTTTATAAAAATAAACTTGGTCCCAGAGATGAGAAAAAGAGAGAGTAAGCAAGAGTAGGCACAAGAAAAAAAATCAAAGCATTATAGGAGAATTGTTTCCATTTAAGGGAATGCAGTATCCATGATTTTTTGGCTGATTGTCCAAGTACCATGTATCTCCTAAATCAGTGCTTTGAGCGGGTTCCTTTATAAATGCAAGTTAAATTAAATTAAAATAAAACAAAAATAACTGTACAACTCTTAAAATGGTAAAATAGGTTGGTGAACAGTTTTTCCATTTCCCCTAGGCAATTTGAGTTTATCTTATGCATTCAAATATGGGTCAAAGGAAGTCATCTGTGTCACTGGACAGTGACTGACCAGTCAGCAGGAGAAGCTACTGATGCTTTGTTTTACACAACACTGTGAAGATACACTCTTTAATAAATAGACATTCCTGCCTGATTGCCCATCTTCCACCTGCCTCCCTTCCCTCTGTATGGCCAAAATCAGGTCAGAGTCCAGCCAGGTGTGATGCCATGGTTTCTTGGATGCCGAAGCTTTCAGAGTGCTAGCTGTTCAGGGAGTATGTGGTCCGTCCTGCGTTGCAAATATGTTATTTTTTAAGTACCAGTGAGTCCTTCTCCAGGGTTGTGGGGTCTCAGTCTCCATGCGTGGAGATGGCTTTTCTTAGCTGCCCTGTGACAACTGGGATTCACATTTCCTGAAACTAGATCTGTGGAAGGAGTCCCTGAAATTAAGGAAGGAGAGAGACAGAAAGAAAGGGAACACAGAAGTAAGAAAGATCAGTTAGCCTTTTAAAGGGGAGGGATTACCCAGCAGAAAGGGACGTCAGTCCTGAAGGGCCAGTCAACATTGTAAGTGAAAAGGCTGAGACCCCTTCACACTGTGCCCAAACAAACAAAACCCAACCCAACACAGGCCATCATTTGGCTCTGGGAAGACCACTGGCACAAGACCAACATCAAGGGGTCTGGCAGAGGTCACAGTGAAAGTTTGGGAAGGACAGAAGCAGAACAGATCAAGCTCTGGCTGCCACTCTCATGCCAGCCCCGCTCCCATGGGAATCCTGGATGTCTGCCACTCACTAGTGCAGTGGCGCATGCCCTGCTCTGCCGGCCCCACACGCCATCTTTTATCCTCTCGGCCCTGTTCTTACCTCTTTTGACTCTCAATTCTGAATATTGGCTTGTAGAGTTCTGGAATTTTCCGCTCGATCATTGGCCTAAGGCTCTCTTTTAGCTTGTTGTAATTCTTTTTGAGTTCCTGCTGGTACTCCCTCTGGTCTGCGGTGATAAGACGCTTGTTTTTCTCTACTGCCTCGCCACATCTGAGATGAAAATATCAGGGTCGGGGAAATAAAGGAGTTCAAAGTGCTTAAACATTTGGGAACAATGAAACTGTATGACTTTTTTTTTTTTAGTGCCTTTAAGAGAGTTTTAAAACTTGGTGGCATATCAGGATCTCCTGTAGAGCTTTTCAGACTGCAGATTTCTAAGCCCAACCTCAGACTTAATGAGTCAGAATTGCTGAGGGGTGGCACCCAGAAATCTCTATTTTTGAAAAGTCGCCCAGGGGAAGAGTGATGCCTCCCCAGTCGGAACCGAGAAGGCACTACGCACATTTTATATGCACAGTGGCTTAATTTTCCCAACAACCCCGGAAAGCTGGCACCTATCTCTATTTTGCTCCTAAAGCTCAGAAATGTTAGGATTCCTGCCCAAGATAACTGCACGACAAAGTGGTAGATCTAAGTAACTCAAGTCACTGCAGAATAGAACTTGTTATGCTTACAAAAAACTCGTGGTCACATGGCAGACAGAGCAGATGCCATTCAGCCCCCTCCTGGTATGTACACGCGGAAGGTACAAGGAAAGCACAGCAAAAACTTGTTTAAAAAGAAGGGAAACACACCCAGGTGCCAGAAAAGAGGAGAAAAGCCAAAGCCCGAGTGATGGCAGGAGCTGGGGCCATGGTAGGTGACACCAGAACTGACCAAGCTTTTGGACTGCGTATAGGTCCTAGTGGCTAGGTGGAAGGGATTTCAAAGCCCACAGAAATCGGTGATGTAGTCTTGGCCAGGACAAATTCTGGATATGTCACCTGCATTTAGTTCAGAGCTTTGAAGAGCTATCCCATCTATGAAAAGGGGGTTATGGAAATGCTGCACACTGTCCAAAGAGGTGGAATGGAAACCGGCTGTCAGCCTAAGGCTATTCATGGGAAGTCACCTTGTGAAATTGAAATTCTAGGCTTTCACCACACGTGGTTAAAAATTTACATTCCTCGGCTCGGCGCCTATAGCTCAACCGGCTAAGGCGCCAGCCACGTACACCTAAGGTGG